AGTACAGACACAATCATCTCAGGCCTGCCTACATTTTTATTCCAAAGTTAGTTGAATCCACAGATACAGGAACTAGATACTACAAGGGGTCAAGAATTAACTGCCTTTATTCTCCCAGCACCACTTTCTAACATCGCTTTAAAAAGCCACAGAGTTCATGTAGGTCATAGAGGGAGTTACTTGCATACCAAGCTACAGGAAGCAAGACTTGAACCAAAAAATTTGCACAGAAGGGAAACTGAGGTACAGAATAGCTAATTAATTGCCTAAGGTAGCGGCAAGGTGGTGGCCAATCTGAGATTCCTACCCAGAGTTTAAAATTTAAGGATTATGTTATTCTGTTTTACAAAGTTTCCATGAAGATTTGAATCAAAAATATATATAAATTCTAATCCATCTGTAGCATCTATTATTACTGTTACTATGAATGTGTCACTATGTGGAAACAGCATTTGAGTTCATCAAGCCCATGAGTGAATCACTCTAAATATAAAAGAAAGCCAGACATGGGGATGCACACCTGTGATCCAGCCACTTGAGAGGCTGAGAGAGGAAGGTCTCTAGTTCAAGGCCAATATGGGCAATATGATGAGATTCTCATCTCAAAAAAAACACATAAGTAAGTAAATATAAAGGGATGTTAGTTTATTTTCATGTTCAGTATCTATAGGGTTAAAAGCTTCAAGGAATTTCTGCATACAATACCTATAATAATACCTATAGTTTATTGAACACATTAGATAGAGGCATATATAAATATATATACATATAATTCCTTTATTCCCTGTGGCATATGCACTATGATAACTCAGTTTTAACCATTCATCAGTTTACCCTGACCATCACTCAGGCAGTGTGTTTGTTTTCATCCTATCCTAAGCGTGGCTCAGGCAAATGTCATTTCAACCAGTCCATTCTTGTATTGAATAAGTTTAATAAAATTGTTGTTTTTACATTTTCTGTTATAAAAATTAGTGAAAATTGCAGTTTTTGGTCATCCTGTTTTTAAGCAATTGGACTAGTAAGTGGTAAAGGCAGGGAAACTGAGGTTGATTATCTTCCCAAGCTCGCACACCCAGGGTCTCGGTGAGGAGAACTTCAATCCCAAATCCATCTGACTCTAGAGGCCAAGTTCTTGCTTCTGATTCTTAAATAATATTTTTCTTTTCTTTTCTTTTTATGTTTGTTTGTTTTTGGTTTTGGCTTTTCACCTTGGGACTTCTAATCCAAAGGTTTGAATTCAGAAAGAATTAACCTGATTTCTGCTTCATATTGCCAGAACCATTGTGGAATATTTGCTCTTTATAAAAGCAGTAAAAAGAACGGCTCAATACTGTTCCCAGGAAGTTTCTCCCATGTCCATATGTCCCTGAAAATGCCATGGCAATTTGCATATGCTGCATATGTATCGAATACAGCCTGAGCCCTGGTTCAGCATTGGCTCTGACAGAAGGCACCTAGAAAGCCCACCCTCATTGGCCACCTCTCATACAATGGAGTAAGACAAGGACTGATTAAGCAGACACACGCTGTCGCCAGGGGCCCCCCTGGGAAGGCAGAAGATGCTTTCCTATCTTAATTGCTGAGTCAGAATCAGACCCTTTTTGAGTACTCTCTGCACCTCTCTCAGCACCATTACCACCCTCACCAAGAAAAAAGCAACCAGACAAATAAACACATAGATATATAAAGAAGGAAATCATCTGATGTCATAGGAGGGCCAGGCCACTTTCCTGCCACTGTTGAATGGAGACATCATGTGGCCTCTCAGGTCCTGAACTGGCAATTCAGAACAGTTTGATTGCCTGCTTGATTGTTGGCGAGATAACTGCAAGATTGTCAGTGACAGGGTAATTTACTGAAGATTGCAATGTCAGACTCCATCCAAGAGGCTCGCTGGCATAAAGATGCGATTCTCATGACGGACAGGCCACTGGGAGATGGGAGGGCCAATTTAAAGTTCAGTGTCATCTGCAAGTGTTGGGCAGTAAGCAGCCCATAATCACACAGCATGATGAGGTCATTACCGGCATAATGTAGGCTCACACTTAATAATCCCAAAAGCACATTCTCTGGAGCAGGTAATTGTAAATATGTAGGAAAAATGATTTATGTCCTTTGTTTTCCCCTTCTTTTTTAGTGTTTGTCATCAGCCATTGCTGATGTGTTTAGGCCATCTCCTGCCAGACAAGCCCTTGAATCAAAAGCCCAGAATCAACAACAATAACAACAAAAAGTGGGGGAATTTGGGGTTTTGAATTTTGAGGCAGTCACAAGTTCAAAAAGAATGACAGATTGGAGAGGGTGGGGAGGAAAATGCTCAGTGCTTAATAGGAAAACTGTCGAAAGGTATTATTTGAGCCCAAAGAGGTCCTTGAGCTAGTAATGCGGAGTGGGTGGTAAATGGGCTAGAGAGGGAGGAAAAACCATTCCCAGCTTCAGGAGGGAGTGGCCACCAGAGATAGATGGAACTCCTAATGGGAAGAGGCCAGCGACCTTAAAAAAAATCCATATCACTAACAACAGTGGGTTTCTTCTCACCTGAGAACTTTCTGCAGCTGCTGAATGAAGCACCGCCAACATATCTCAGCAGATTATTTTTAAAATCTGAAGCAGGCATTTCATGGCACATTCCTTTTGCCTAGTACAGGCCATCCACAAAAGGTGAGATCCAAGGCAGATTTCTGGGCGGTTTTTTTTCCCCCCTCTTTTTTTTTCTTTTGCCGATGGCCCTCGAATCCAGATTGGACCACCCAAATGTAGACCAGATACAATGCATCCTGCTGCCCAGATACAATTCATTCTCCAGTGCTAGGTCCGAGGTTTATGCTTTCCCAGGCACCGGGGAGTATTCGATCCAACCAGCACATCCAGCTGAGATGTTCTGAGCCTTGATTTCAAAACTCTCTAAATTTAAAGTATGCTGTGCCTGCTCACCCTCCTGTGTCTGCATTTCTAGGAAATTTTGTAAATCTAAATGTGTTATGAGGCACACGAACAACATTTGCCCATGTGGAAAATGAGAGGCTAGTTCTAGTAATTTAAAGCCAACCAAAACATGCAACCTCCTAATTTGTTTGTTTGCTAAAAAGAAAGTAATCCATTAAAATAATTGTACATTAATTGCTAAATTACAGTGGAACTTTGGTGAAATTACATATTTCGATTTCATTAACAGAACCAAAGGAAAAGGGTAATGCCAAAAAATTACATTGTAGTAAATTTAAAGTGCACTACCCAGCCTCTGATTCAGCATTCTGGTACAAGTGTTTGTCATGGCACAGTCCGAGGCTTGAGTGCATGTCTCCAGGATGCTAATTATAGCAGAAAAAAAGGCCTTGCTATGAAATCCAGGAGGTACAAACAAGTTATTTTCAAGCTCCTCTGCTGTTCAATCAATTCCCAGCAGAGTGAATAAGGATTGACCAAGAAATCCATTCTAATAAGAAATTCCAAGGAGTAAGCCCTACCCTAAACATTACTATCCTCAGCCCTAACAAACGTGAAGAATGAGAAACGGTCATTTATTCGTTCAACAAACATGCATGGAGCACCCTGTTCTATGCTTGGCACTAAGCAATGCATGAATGTAGACATTAATAAAACACTGTTCCTCTTTTCACCCAGCTCATTTTCCAGATAGGGAGGCAAGCATAAAGAGATAATTAATTCCAGTGCAAGGAAGTTGGTGTTAACAACAACAGTTTCTAAAATTTATTGTGCATTAGAAACACCTGAGAATCATGATTAAACTGCAGATTCAAGACCTGCTCCTCTAGGAGCCTCTAGGCTCCCTCAGGGGAGGTCTGGGATGGGCCCTCGATTCTCCTGAGAGATTTTGATGGGGAGCCATCCTCTGAGAACCTCTGATACAGAGATGTACAAAACAGGAGTACCTAACTGTGTTGATCAAGTGGGACTACTGAAACAAAAACACCCTAGATCAGGGGACTTAAGCAACAAATAACTTCTCACCATTTTGTTGACTGAAGTCCAAGGTCAGGGCCCTGGCATGCGCAGTGTCTGGTGAGGGCTGGTTCCTGGTTCCCAGATGACACTTCTTCCTGTGTCCTCTCATGGCAGAAGGAGGGCTGGAGAGCTCTCGTGGGTCTTTTTATGAGGGCCTTGATCCTATTCGTGAGAGCTCTACTTTCTTGACTTACTTAAGTCTCTCTTTAAATGCCCTACCTCCTGATTCCAGCACATCGCAGTTTAGAATTTCATCATATGAATCTGGACACACACATTCAGTCAGTAACATTAACCTGACCACAGGTATCATCAGTCCAGCTTCATAGATGAGGTGGCCACACCAAAACTGGGTCTCAAACAATGAGTCGGTCATATCCACCTCTCCCCCTGTACAATCAGTCAGCTCCTTAGGGCCAGACTCCTAGCATCTGGATGGAACTTAAAAATGTGTTGAATGGTAGATGAATGTAAAAGACTCAGCCCGGGAAATGGGGCACAGGGGCAGGACTCTGAGAAGTAAATCAGAATATCCAAAGTCTTGTAGGCAAACTGCTCAGTAGTTCCCTCCCTGGCTCAGAGAAAGGCTGGGATGGTTTTCTCCATGGAAGTGAGCCTTAAGAAATTCTGTGAGTCTCGATTACTTGTACACCCATTAGCACAGGCCCCTTGGAAACTGGCTGTAGGTAATTTTTTATGTGATGTTATTTAAAAGCAGTGTTTTTGTTTTTATTTCCAACCACTCCAATAATCCTTGCTCACAGTAGAAAAAAAAAAAAGAAATTTCAAAGAAGTGAAATAAAACACAGAGAAGTACACTTATCTAGTACCTGGGGATAGCCATTTGTCAACATTTGCAATTATTTCCTTTCGATCTTTTGCTTTCTGTGTGTATAGCTTGGAATTATGCTAGGCTTGCTGGGTGAAACTGGCCAGTTGAAGGCCATTGGGAGGGTTGGATGGTAACAAAAGTGCTAGCATCTCCAGGCGGCTTGGTGGCACTGACCATGCCTCTGCCTCTGCCCTTCCAGATGGCCTGGTGGACTGCCTGGACCCCGACTGCTGCCTTCAGACTGCCTGTCAGAACAGCCTGCTCTGCCGGGGGTCCCGGGACCCCCTGGACATCATTCAGCAGGGCCAGACGGACTGGCCTGCAGTGAAATCCTTCTACGACCGAATCAAGCTCCTGGCCGGCAAGGACAGCACCCATATCATTCCTGGAGACAATCCCTTCAACAGCAGGTGGGCGTCCATGTGTCTGTGCAGGCCTCTGAGCTCACCGGTTCCCTTCCTGTGGGAGCAGGGGGAGTGCTAGGCTCCTCTCTGCACCAGCTGACCCTGGAACTGCCCACTGGAGGCAGCTATCTGCTTGAGCCTAGAGAAGGCCCTTTTTTCCTTTGGTTGGGCTCCAGAGCAGACTACGGGTCTCCCTGCAGGATTTGGCCACATTCGACCCAGAATCTGCTGGAGGTACCTGTTGATTTCATAGTTTTAAGATTATTGTTATGATCTATTTTTATGATATTTTGTCATTATTTTAAATCTTCCTGTGTAATGCCTCTGAGAGTGGCTTTTGTTTGTGTACTGCTGAAATAGTTCATTCAGCAGAGTATTTTTGAAAGGTGTTATTAACTTGATAACATAACCTATCATTCGTGGCATCTTAGAGTCAAGATAATGCTAGTTGTGAGAATTTATGAGCACCTAGGATGAGCAGAGACATTCTCTAGATACCTCTGATGCTCACAGCAGCCCATCCAGGGCTCCTCCGAGGTACCCACTGTGGATAATGCTTTGTGCCTCTGTGTCTCACTCTTCGGTCTTCCCATTCTCTCTGGCTTATCTTCGATCACAGTTGCTAATTTGAGGTCTAGGAATATGCTAGGGCCAAATTCTGGAATTATTTTGAGTCAGCCTAGCCCCTCCCTTGACTGCAGGACAAGTCAGAACTGTGCCCGGAAAAGAGAGCAGCAGGAAGCCTTGGCTGTGAGAAACCTTCTCTCTTCCTGACACTCTTTCTGATTGTGTGGGGAGAGAGGAGGGAAGAAGACGCAGGGGGTCTTCTCAGGGCCTGGCTGCACGTGACTGATGGGACCCTCAGTGGGCCCAGATCCGGATGTCAGTGGCATGTGCTGATCTGAGGATGATTGGCGGGGACTTGGGGTGGGGGCCCTGCCTGATCTCTGTGTCCTTTCAAGAGGAGAAATAACGGCTGTTGGTTGGTTCCTTGTTCACAAAACTTCGAGCATCTGGAGCTTGGGATCGTGATGGCCCTGGCCCCCTTTGCCCTCTGCAGCCCCCTCACTGCATCCTTCGCTCTCTTCTGCCTTCCTCCTCCATTTACCTTGTTTTCCAAATTATGAATTTTTTTATTTTACCTTCAATGGACACAACAATGGTACCTATTTATGGGGTACAGTGTGATATTTGATTCCTGTATACATTGGGTAATGATCAAATCAGAGTATTAAATATTGTCATTTCTCTGTGATGAAAGGATTCAGAAGTCCCCTCTTAGCCATTGTGAAGTGTACAGTGCGTTATTGTTCACTGTAGCAGTAGCACACCAGAGCGCCTTCCTGCTCCCTCACCGTGACACCTTCCCCTCCTTTCCCAGCCTCTGTCCTCTCTCTCTCTGCTCAGGAACCACTCATGTGCTGCTTACCCAGGGTCCCAGCAGGGAGGAGATGCCCCTAGCTTTCTAAGTGACTCTCACAGCCCCTCTTGATGGACCCCATCTGTGACTCTGATCCAGTCTCTGAAGAGCCTCGCCGAGGCAGGATGCGGGGGGAAGGGGTGGCCCAGCCAGTCCTCCGTCTTCTTAGGGCCCTTGGGGAAGCTGAACAGCTCCCCTTCACAGCAGCCCTTCTGAGTCTATAACAAGGTCACCTATGACCAGCAACTTTAGCTTCTCTCTATTCTGGTTCTACTAAACATGAAATAGAAAAAGAAATAATGACATAAAAGAAATCATAATCTCAACCTTCTTCTGTTTTTGCCCTGACATCTCCTGTCTGTACCACATTTGGCTCATAAAACTCATTTTCTAGACTAGTACAATTAGAATAATTATTTTATATTATGCATGGTAATAGAAGAACCTTGGAAAAAAAGAAAGAAACTACCAATCTTTGACCCCCTAAAAAATGTATTTCCTCTGCTTTTTAAATCCTAGTTCTAGGATTGATTCTGTAGGTGTGTTTCCTTTTGATTATGCACATAATCCATGTTGCCAGGGACTTACGAACAGAGCTTGCACTAGGTCGTAAATGTTTGAGTGGAGTTTGCACATGCTTCACTTGTACAGTAAATGCATCCTGTAAAGGCTCACGATCCATTTCATCCTGCTTCCTAATTAACATTTTGTGATTTCTACCCTAAATCTGTCATTTCCTGATATTCTCCTTTTTCTACTTACTCATCACCTGTCCTTTCTAATTTCATCTCATCTTTCCCACCAAGAGTTATCACTTCCTAGAAGCATCCTGAGCAAAAGCCAAGATACAGGGGAGCAGACCAGGGACCCCAAAATATTTGGTGGATGAAGTCAGCCCAGAGATCTGAGTGAAAGAAGATCTCCTTAGAAAAAGCTTCTCCAAAGCTTTGATGAGCCTACACTCTCCCGCCTGTGTGCATGGATACATAATTCAGAAGTACAAAATAGTACTCCAAGACACAGGTTGAAGTTCAGTACGCATGTGAATTTCAGTGCATTATCATCTGACAAATAATGAAGGACAAAGCTAGGAGTAAAAAAGAACTTAATTCAAGACTTCTAAAAAGGCGTTCCCCTAGATAATGGCATACAAAAATAACTAAAATGCCTTGACTCCACCACTATAATTTATAGAGCAGATCTCACTATCTACATAATGTGATAATTGTTACACATCAGTAATCATAAATAGAAATGAACTGTTGGCATGTCTTCTCTGAATCTTTTCTGTGAGTTGGCTGCCTAGAAATGATAGGAAGCCAGCAACAATGAAGAATTCGAAAAATGGAAGGGTAGAAATCACAGGCAACCCAGTCCCTTTTATTCCTACAGTGCTCTGCAAGTCTTATGCTACAGGACCGATTTTTAAAAAATAGCAGTAGTAGAAAAATGGAAGAGCGAACAAAAACCACTGTGGAATGTACTCCCAATTTTGTTTTCTCATCATGAGCACTGTGTACCTTGTGGTCATCAACACACATCATTGATTTTTAAAATAGTGTCTCGTGAGGCCATACAGAAATCTTAGATAAGAAGAGGGAATTGAACAAAAAGATTATTTTCATAAATTAGTTTCCCACTTTCAAAAGACTCTAGCATCACAGTTGAAACCAGCTAAAAATGGGATTCATTTGTTAGGCAGCCAGTAGCAGACAATTAGAGCTGTCAGTAGAACAGTCTAAACATTCCTGAGATCATCAGAGGGCTGGAGTTGAACAGCTGGGGGTATTACTAATAGAAAGAAAGATGCTTGGAGACAGCTTCCCTCCAGCTTCCAGGACACCCAAGATTGCAAAAGTAAATGCATTCCAAAAATCTCTGACAAGATTCTGGCAGAGAATGGCTCGGCTTGATTACCTAGTCCAGAAATTGGGAGGTTATCCAGGGATCTGGGAACCAAGCTGACCACATCTTCAAGGCCAACAATACAGCTGCAGATCTGCCTGGAAGCTCAGTATAAATATGAAGCTTCACTTGTCCCATTTCTCCAAGAAGTCAAGAGAATTCAGGTGAAAGGAGACATGTGCATTTGCCCTCTGTGTGCTTTGAGTAGAATGCAGTTCAAGCATCCCTAATCCAAAAATGCAAAATCTGAAATGCTCCAAAAATCCAAAACTTTTTAAGCACCAACAGGACACCCCCAAATGGAAAATCCCATGCCATAAAGCTTTATTTCCTGCACAAAAGTATTAAAAGTATTACATCAAATTATCTTCAGGCTCTGCATGTAAGGTATATATGAAACATACATGAATTTTGTGTTCAGACTTGGGTCTCATCCCCAAGATGTCTCATTACAGATAGGCAAATATTCCAAAATCTAAAAAAAAAAAAAAATCCAAAACCTAAACAGCTCTGGTCCCAAGCATTTCAGATAAGGAATATTCAGCCCATATTGTAGCATCTCTGTGGCTTTATCGGATTTCCCAAAGGTAACTGGTTGGAAATTGGTATTCTAGGGAAAATTCTAGTTACTACTTTCTGGAGAGAGGGGAGTTTTCCCTGACACCAGAAGGAAAAAAAAAAAAAGTATGGCATTTCAACCACCCCCTCCCAAGATAGCAGGAATCTGACATAAAGAAAAATATGTAGTTACACACAATCCAGCATCCAAGATATTTTTTACCAGATACAAAAATATCTCCAACATCCCCTTTTCCTTAAACTCTTATGGATTGTGAGAAATTTTGCTCTTAGAGGGCAGCAGAAAGCAACGTGTATATATGTCCAGCCTCATAAAAGAACCTCTGTGTGTGCCCCTGTACCCCTCTGCCAGCCCAGCCTGGAGCGCAAGAGTAACATGGCCTCGCTCCAAAGTCAGATTAGGAAATGAGCAGCCAGATGGGGAAGCTCTCACCGGAGCATAACTCTGTCTGTGCCAGGCTGAGGCACACACGTGAGTGATGGGAGGCGGCCTGGAGCCCAGCCCAAACACCAGCCCACACCATCAGGCACTGGAGCAAGGCCCGACCTCTCCGTGTGGTGTGAAGCCGGAAGTGAAGGTGCAAAGCCTTCTCCTTGCCCAGAGACCAGAGGAGGATGAGTGAGCAGTGGCTTTGAGGAAGAGGAACTTGGCAACCCCCACCCCACCTCCACCCCTACCCACGCAGTTTCACTGTTCTCCTACGTGTGGCTCAGAGACCTCTACTTTTTTCTCTTTCAGCCTGGTTTCTCTCATCCGCGGCCAGGTGGTAACTACGGATGGGACTCCCCTGGTTGGCGTGAATGTGTCTTTCGTCAAGTACCCGAAATATGGCTACACCATCACCCGTCAGGATGGCACGTGAGTAGCTTCGCAGGGCTCGTACCACTCAGGAGGGAGTGTTCCTGCAGAGACAGCGTCAGTGCTGTTGGCTTAGACCTCGTGTGTGGTTCCTTTCTGTGGACTTGAGTGCCCAGCAGCCAGACCTCTTAGGGAGTATTTCCCCAGAGACATTTTGTGCTTTTTGGTGTGGGATCAAAACCAGAAAATAAATAGAAAGGTCAGTGAATCCAGGAGAGCTAACAGCTGTCTCTTTCCTTTTCCCATGTCAGGTAAAAGCTATTCTGTGTGTGTGCTGGGGATGGGCACAGATTCTTGACCCAAGAAGGGAAGAAAAGGAGCTCTTAGAAACTAACTCCTATTTTAAATCAAAGACAGTGCAGGGTGACAAAGATCCACATGAGACAGTGTCCTGTGGTGATCCCCTTCTGCTTTCATCTGTGGCTGTAGGAGCTGTGTTGTTTTCGCTACAGTTTTGAGGGGGTGGGCTGTAATCAGAGGAGCCTAATTAAATACATTTAGCAGTCACCCTGCTGCGTGAAGGAGGCAACCTTCCCCTATTATCTTCTGATTAGAAACGTTTACCCGTTCAGCCCCTGGCAAGATGAAAGCTCTGTATTTCTTAGTCCATTGGGCATAGAGTCAAAAGTTAAAGAAAAAGAGAAAAAGAAAAGAAATCTATAGAAAGAGGGAAACACTTGCCCTGGACTAGAAACACACACACACACACACACACACACACACACACACAATCACATTCTATTCCAGAGGAAGAGAGGGACTGTCACTGTAAATCTGTTGAAATACTTTTTCTATAAAAACCATACTCAGGAAAATCATGGACATATTGTGGAGGTAAGAACCGTGATTCTTGCCTTTCTCTGGCAAAGTGTCTACCCTATTTCCTGATATTCTAAGGTAGGCTTGCAGGCAGTTTCAAAAATTATCAGCCCTTGCCGGCCGTGGTGGTACATGCAATGTAATCACAGCACTTGGAAGGCTGAGGCAGGAAGATTGCTGTGAGTTTGAGGCCAGCCTGGGCTACATCATGAGTTCAAGGCCAGAATGAATTACAGAACAAGACCCTGTCTCAAAAAAAAAAAAGCCCTTAAAAAATTATCGTCCCACAGGAGCCCTGTTCTCATGTTCAAAAACCAAAAAGGGAGGCCTAATGATTCCTGTGAAATTCTCAAGTCAGATGCCCCTTTACTCACAGTGCAGTTATATCCCAATAAATGCAACACAAAGTGAAAATATTATATGTCAAAAATGCATGAAATGCACCTAACCTGCCAGACATCCTACTCTAGCAGCACAGTAGGCTGCAGAGTACCTGTTGGTCACCCTTGTGGTACCATAGCTGGTTGGGAACCATGGCTCACTGCTACCGCCCTGTGTCGCAAGAGCAGGTTACACTGCATATCACCAGGCCAGGGACAGACTAGAATTCAAAGTACAGTTTCCGTGAGTGCATATCTCTTTCCCACCATTGCAAAGTTGAAAAATCAAAAGTCCACCCAAAGTAAGTTGGGAACCATCTTCATTCATTAAATGTCTGACATCTTGCTCATAAATACATTTCTGTAATCAAACCTAATTGTTAGAAAGCCCAGGACAGCCAAGTGTTATCATGCAGAGACCCTTTGGGGCTTGTTCATTCTAGAAGCCGGTGTCCTAGAGGACCAACATCCTTGAATCGATTCCTGAAAGGCCTGTGAAACAATACAGGGAGACATTTCTGACCCCTCAGTCTCCTGTCCGTTCCTTCTTCCTGTTCCCCTGACCCTCTCAGATGCTTCTTGGCTAGTTGTACCCCAGTCTACCCCCGAAGTCATCTGTTCCTGCTCCTGGATTGGACTCTTTTGCTTGTTCAGGTTGAAAGGCATGAAAGTCCCATTGCATGTTTGAGAATGCTCTGACGATTCCCACGGTGTGTTAGAGAGTATGGTATGCAACACAAACTCTTGTTCACTCAGTCGTGCCAGCTAGGAACAATTTTGTTTCAAGGTAAGACTCTCTTGTGCATCCCAGGCAAAACTGTCTCCAGCAGCCTGCACACCCAGTAAATAAATTTGTAAACAAACTAATGTGTAAACTGCTGCACTGTGTATGCTCTATTGACGTTAATATTTATGTGCTCCTCGTTCATTCACTTTATGTCTACTAAAACAAACATCAAGCTTGATACAAAGTTGGATGAAGCCAGCGATCAGTATATTTTCACTGAATTTTACTGGGATCTTGACATGGGGAATTCTAACCAAGGAAGGCAGAAACACTGCTGCCCTCAAAGCATTGAAATTCTAGTAGAGTACATCTTAAAGCTGGGGAACTTCTCTCCACTAATCTCCTTCCTTTCTGTTAACTGGAAAAAAAGCTAACTTTGTTTTACTCTCCTCATCATACCCGCCCCCCATCCAGCTCTTGAGGAATAAACAGGAATTCAGTTGAAGAACCATTGCCAAAGATAGCAGAGGAGCAGAGGTTGAAGAAGAAGGCTCTTGGGAGCCTTCCCTGTGTCTTAACATCTTGTCATTATAACTGCACTGCTTACTGAACCCTCCTGTTAGCCTGTTGCCATGCTAATAGCTTTATACCAGGCATCAACAAACATTTTCCATAAAGGACTGGATAGCAAATAGCTTAAGCTTCGGTAGCCGTGTGGAGGTTTTTGCCATTACTCAGCTCTGCCACTGTGAAAGGGATGAGTCACAGAGGATACATAAGCAAATGGACGTAGCTATGTGCCAATAAAACTTTATTTACCAAAACAGATGGTGGGCCAGATTTAGTCCTTAGGCCATAGTTTGCTCACCCCTGTTCTGTACCCAACCTTCATCACGTTGATTCCCTCAGCTATACTGAGTGTTAGTATCATCGTTTCCATTTGGCAAATGAAGAAACAGGCTCAGAGAGGGCTAGTAACATGCCAGAGGCTGCACACCGGATAAATGGCAGCGTCTGGGTTCCAGCCTAGCCCACTTTTTTCCAAACCCCTGCTTCTTCTCGGGTGCTCTCCCCCTCCGGCTTCTCTGAGGTCACGGGACTAGTGAATCCTCCTGACTCACTGAGCCCATTTCCCTCTCTCCAGATTTGACCTGATCGCCAATGGCGGCGCCTCCTTGACTCTGCACTTTGAGCGAGCCCCATTCATGAGCCAGGAGCGCACAGTGTGGCTGCCGTGGAATAGCTTTTATGCCATGGACACCCTGGTGATGAAGACGGAGGAGAACTCCATCCCCAGCTGTGACCTCAGTGGCTTTGTCCGGCCCGACCCAATCATCATTTCCTCCCCACTGTCTACCTTCTTCAGTGCCGCCCCTGCACAGAACCCTATCGTGCCTGAGACCCAGGTAGGACGGACAGGTGTCAGGATGAGACGCTCCGTACTTCCCTAACCAAAATCAACCAGCCAACTTCCTCTGTCCCCTCTGCCTCCTTCAGTGGGCCAGAAACTAATATTAAAAAGGAGGGACAAAAAATAGGAGCACAGTAGAATTTATAGCCACTGGAGACCAAAGTTTGAATCCCTCCCGGACATTCTAGATGTTTGCAGATAGTTGTTCAAGACTTTGGCAGTCGCTGGAGCTTTTAATAAAATAAAAACAATCTACATATGTGCAACCCACCTGCAAATTGCTTTTTATTCCTGTTAGTCACCGAGATACATGATAAGAGGCGCTTTAATGATCTACATCGGTGTTACGACAGAGGGCAGATTACATTATTGCCTCCCTGTTGCTTTATACCGATTGTCAGTGGAAGTTGCAGGTTCATATAATTACAGCCTCTTGTGGCCTCCTTGCATGCAGCTAGCAATAAAGCCTGCTGTTCTTATTTACATCTTTTGCCAACAGTGTGTTTTTTAAAAGAAATACAACAGTGACCAAGAATAATTATTAATCCAAAAATCATAACCTCAGCCCCTTCACTCCATGGTGCAGGATGAAGTTAGGGTTAGTTTTCTCTTTTTCCCTCTCAGCTGTGGGAAGTGGTTCTTGCACCCACGTATGTTATGATACTTTTCTGTGAGGGAGGCAGCAACCATCCAGCTTTGGGTTGCTGGTAGCCCACCTGCCAGGGTGTGTTTGATATGCTGTAGCTACCATGTGTTTCCCTCCAGGTCCTTCATGAGGAAATTGAGCTCCCTGGTTCCAACGTCAAGCTTCGTTATCTGAGCTCTAGAACTGCAGGGTACAAGTCGTTGCTGAAAATCACCATGACCCAGTCCACAGTCCCCTTGAACCTCATCAGAGTCCACCTGATGGTCGCTGTCGAGGGGCATCTCTTCCAAAAGTCCTTCCAGGCTTCTCCCAACCTGGCCTACACCTTCATCTGGGACAAGACCGATGCTTATGGCCAAAGGGTGTATGGACTCTCAGATGCCGTTGGTATGTGGTGGTTTCAATCATTTACTAGTTCATGGACTTAGTTATATCTTAATTCAATCAACATTTACTGAGTTCCTGTTGTATACCAAGCACTGTTGTAGCAGATAAAGACACAGAGGTCAGTTACACAGACAAAATCCCTCTTCCCTCTACCTTACATTCAAGGGGAAGATCAAGATAAAAAAGAAACACAGAGTGGACAAGGAAATATCAAGCTATAATAAGTGCTAATAAGAAAATAACAATAAGAGATATATACCGAGGAGAAGGCACATCTGTGGACAGGCATTCAAGGAATTCTTCTCAGCAGGGTGACAGTTAAATGCAGATGTGAGCATCAGAAGGCGCCAGGTGACTTCAGGAGATGGGCATTCCAGGCACAGAGAAGAGGCAGGAGTGTGTGAGGGACACAGAGAAGACAGCTACGGCTGGAGCATGGTAGGCAAGGCGAGTGTTCAGGGTGAAGGAGAGAGGTGAGCGGGGACTGGTTCGTGTTCCGGAGAGAGGACTTGCAAATAGCACAGAATGCACCTTTGAGAATAAGAAATTTGAGTTCAAGTTGATCTGAGAGCTACCTGCTGTGTTTTAGGGCTTTGCCTTTTGAGGGACTCACACCATCCCCTACTTAGGAAAGATCACTATAAGAGAAAGTTCCTGTGGCTATCAGAGTTGTGAGCTCTGGATTAATATCTGCCCAGGATCTTCCTACTGGTAGAGAGCTATCTAGGGATTAATTAAATTCCAGCGTCCTGTATTGTCTTCACAAGTAGGCTCGTAGTTTTCAAGAACTGTGAGTAAAGATAAGTTCCCAAAGTAAGTAACCAGTAAGCTCAGATATTTTCACTAGAATTGGCAGCCAGTGTTTATCAGGCACTGCCTTTGTGCACACAACATTGCTGAGTTGGTTGTGTCGGGTCACCTCATAGTCCCTCATAATCCCTATGCTGTAGATGGGGCAGAAGAGAGAAAGCCCAAGGAATTTGTCTAAGATCACACAATTGGCCTGTTACAAATGCCCAGAATGTGACCCCAGTGTCAGCTTCATCATTGAGTGGAGTTAGTAACTTACTCAAAATTGTCAGAAGGTATTGGAGTACTGAATGTATTTAATATCAAGGACCATCCATACTGGATTTAGCAAATATCAAAATAATAGCCAATATCAAAAAGTAGACTGAATATAATAATCCACCCTTATATACTTCAGATTCCACTATTATCAGCTCATGATGAATCTTGTTTGCCGTACCTTTATCTACTCCCCTGTCTCCTGCATTTTTCTGAAGTAAGTCAAAGATATCCCATCCCTTCCTCTGGAATATTTCAAAATATATCTCTAAAACTCACTTTGAGAACATAATGGCAATATCATTATCAACAAAAACCCCCCACAATTTCCAATCATTTTTCTATATTTCAGTTGTCTCTTGAATATATTAAAATATTAATACTTTAAGTCAAGATCCAAATAAGATCAACCTTTTGCAATTGATTGGGCTCGTAAATATTTTTAAAAGTTTTTAAAGATTTTAATCTTTCCATTTCTCTTTTGGACATTCATTCATTCATTCATGAAACTGGGTTGTTAGTGTAGAATGTCCCATCGTCTGGTTGCATGTTTCCTGATTGCATGCTGGTGGCCATTTGACCTGTTCCTCTGGCCCCAGCATCTCTGATGAATGGATGACTGGGTCTGAGGCTGTCTCAGTTCAGGTCTGACTATCCTTTCTAGCAGCACCACCTGACAGGTAGTTCTGTGTTCTTCCACCTGGAGGCACCTAGTGTCAGGATGTGTGCCTCTAAAAATCTGGGCAGCCGTAGACGCTCATTGCCCAGATCTTGTAGGTCATTAGGGACCGCACAGTGATATTTTAATTCTGTTATTGCTTCCCATCTGTTAGCTAGAATAGTTTATATGAGATGTTTTGTCATCAACTATTTGGTTATTTGAGGCATAGTTCAAATAAGAAAAGACAAATGCTTACTTAGTTCGCTTCTTTTCTAACTTTCAGTGTAATGAATTGGTTTGTCCTCCGAGAGTGGCAAATTGTTTCTTTAAATACCATTATAAACTCAGACTGAAATGTATCTAGTATGTTTCAACCACTGAAGTCATTCTCCTAATAATAGTCACAAGGTCCCATGTTTGAGCACTGGGAGCATCTTTAAGTGGACTCCCGAATCCTTGTTTGTGACCCTAGTAGATGCCTCTCTTGCTATCTGGTGTGGTTAAATGCACGCCTGATCTCATATCATTCATTTCTTTCTTGGGTCATTTCTTCAAGGGGTCCAGGTTCTTTTCAGTGAGGAATAAAATATCAAGGTGACAAGCAGAGCACTAGCAATCCACTTTTCCCCTGGGCTGGTCACTGTTTCTTGGTGTTTTTAGAGGACAAGCTAGGAAATACATGGGCTTAGTTTTTGGTTTTCAGTTTCTGTTTTTAGGATAAAATGTACTCTTCACTCATATCAGCACTTCTATAGCTCAGGATTTCTAAAAAGCTGCAGAGAATCCCAAAGGTGACACACATACTTAAGAGTTTAATGTAGTAGGAACAGCAATAACAATGTTTTATGTTTCTAGAATAGTGTTTCAATTAACAATGTGTGGTGCCCAGCATTTCATCTTATTCACCCTTACCACATTTCTTGAAGAAACTGAGGCTTGACTTTACCCCATTTTACATGCGAGAAACGTGGAACCACGAGCATAAGGCAGGAGGCAAGATAAGACTAATGCCCGTCTCCTTCTTCCTCTCTCATTTGTCCATGTAGCAAATGCAAGGTTTTTACAAATAAGATTTTGGGTCTGATCCTCTTTGGATCTCCATGGCACTGGTAGGCTGCACATCGCTTAGTGCCTGCCTCTCCTGGCACTTCCTGAAAAATCTGAGTGAACACACAGTTATCCCTTGGTACCCACAGAGCCACGGTTCCACAACCCCTCACAGATACCTAAATCTGAGGTGTTTGAGTCCCTTATATAAAATGATGCCACATTTGCATACAACCTATGCACACTCTCCCATACACTTTAAGTCATAGCTAGATTACATATGATACCTTACACAATGTACATGCCATGCAAATGGTTATTACACTGTATTATTTAGGGAATAATGACAAGAGAAAAATCTGTACATGTTCAGTGCAGATGCAGTATTTTTATTCAGATATTTTCAATCCATGGTTGGTTGAATACATGGTTGCAAAACCTGTAGTTACAGCATTACCAGTTGTAAAAAGTGCTTTGACTTATACAAGCTGGTGCCTCAGAACTCCTCCTCAATGAGCCTCTAAGCTTCCAAAGTTCTTTCTCCTAGTAAGTGAAAATAAGTAACACAAGATATAACAAATGCACTTGGTGAAGAGCAGGCTGAGAGAAACAGTCTCCCATCTATTTCTAGAGAAGAATTATACAGTATTCAGTTTTTAAATGATTCCCCTTCTCCCTCCACATCACTGGGGTCATTTTCAAACATTGGTTGTCCGTTGGACACAAAGTACGTGAAGTACAACTGTATAAAGTTTCAAGGCTGAGTTCAGCTCAACATCTGAAGTTAACATTGTGGAATCACAAAGAGAAAAGCAATCAGCCCACCTCTTGGGGTGATTTTGAGAACAGCGTCTGTATCCCCCAAACACGTGTTTCTCATTCTCACTAGACTGCTCCAGAGTAATCAAAACCTCTGTCTTTTCCCCTGCTCTGTCCCACCTCCCTTTTGCCTTTCAGTGTCTGTGGGCTTTGAGTACGAGACCTGCCCCAGCCTCATCCTGTGGGAAAAAAGGACCGCTCTGCTGCAGGGCTTTGAGCTGGACCCTTCGAACCTCGGGGGCTGGTCCCTGGACAAGCACCACATCCTCAACGTGAAGAGCGGTATGTGAGCTCCTCTGCTTTCCTGTGGACAGCCTCGTGCCTTCCCTGGAACCATCGCTCCAGCCTTGACATTTCCAGGAGCAGCCCTTCCCCTTCCCTCAGCCATGTCACCAAGTGCCACCCTCAAAAAAATCACAGGTTATTTTCCTACCTCCTTTAAAATGTCAGCTAACATGGGGCTGGTTCGCTCAGGACATACCTCATAGTTCTTCACATATCCCTCAAAGTGCTCTTCACCCAAGCCCATGGCATTTGAGGGTTGCTGTCCCATTCTAGCTCCTTAAGCCTCATGAGGAAGTAGGAGAGCACCTGAAAAGAGGTTTCCAGAATCTTCTCTCCTCCCTGTCCCTTCCCCTGACCCTCCCTGGGCCAACATGACTGTCCTCCCCAGAGAGCTGCGGTGACCACTCCCCTTTGTCTCCATCTCCCAGGAATCCTGCACAAAGGCACTGGAGAAAACCAGTTCCTGACCCAGCAGCCTGCCATTATCACAAGCATCATGGGCAATGGCCGACGCCGCAGCATTTCCTGTCCCAGCTGCAATGGCCTTGCCGAGGGCAACAAGCTGCTGGCCCCCGTGGCTCTGGCAGTGGGAGTCGATGGCAGCCTCTTTGTGGGTGACTTCAATTACATCCGGCGCATCTTTCCCTCTCGAAATGTGACCAGCATCTTGGAGTTACGGTAAATGAACATGCAAGCAAACTTCTGCCTCTCACTCCCTGTTGCTCCTGAGTCCCTTGGGATGAATGGTAGCTGTATTTGGGGTTCTCCAGAGAATATGTAATCCCTGTGATCCCAAACCTAGGCCCAGAATCAACTAAGGTTGCAGAGAAACGCCAGCACACACAGGTTGATATGACTGTCAACAACTGATTTATGAGCAAGGGAAATGACTTTCTGTCTTCAGACTAGAGAAGGACCATGATGTCTTTCATTCTTTTAAAATCTCTGTAAAACATTGTGATGCACATCAAAGTGTGCGAGACACTAATGTTTATTTACTAATTCAAAAGTTTTTGTTAAGCACCTCTGTGTGTTAGCTCTATAAATTCTTTGAATCTTTGCACATTCACTAGGATATGATGCAGCATAATTGCATTAGGCCTTCCTAGGTAATTTCTTGCCACCTTGGCAGAACCTCCTGCCCTTTGCTTGCTGCTAGGTCCAAAGTCCAGACTGCATGGTGCTAGGGAAATATTAACACCGGCATACACCTGAAAATGCTTTCTCTAGGAAAGTTGATTCCAGACTCTCAACTCAGAGAAAGATATGTAAATAGAGGGAGAAATAAGGTCTGTAAGTAAGCCGGGGAAGAATGCTGAACAGAAAGACGTTGTGCAAAAGCCCTAATACTAGCCAGTAACCTGGCTTACTGAAGGGGCTGACAGGCATTCAGTGTGTCGGGGCACAGTGAGCCCAGGGGAGTGTCCTTAGAGGAAATCAGAGGGGCAGGGAGGGGATCGAAGCTTCAGCAACTGACTGGACATGTGGACAAGTGTGAATTGCATTCTTGCTGCAGTGGGCAGCCACTGGAGATTGAAGCTGAGGTGGCTACACTGCACTGGCCTTTTCTAAAAATGCCCCTGGCCAGCATGTGGACAGACCACAAGAGTGAAGCTATGGAGCTGGGAGATTCATCAGGAGGATGCGGCAGTGCTGCTGGTTTTGGGTGATGGCAGTTTGGACTAGAATAGTAGCAGAAAGATGTAGAAATTCTCCAACTGAAATATATTTTCTAGTTACATCAGGTAGGATTTGATGAAGTGAAAAGAATGAAGAGAGAGAGAAACAGACACAGAGAGATTGCTGGATCGATCAAGGGCGCCATTTAGGATTTGGGCCTAGGCCACCGAGAGGCCAGCGATGCCTCCCGAAGCAACCTCACCCATGAGGTAACAGACAGGAGAAGCTTTAGGTCCCATTTGCATTGTCCTTGAGGCCTCTTCTGGGATACAGATCAGTAGCCTGACCACCAGCAGCTACTGATGAGTATTCTTGGGAGCAAAGACTGCCAGGCACTGCAGGGAATAAAGAGAGGAGAAAACAGCAGCCCCACACTGAGGAGGCTGCAGTCTCAGGGGTCAAAGGCTGAGCCACCCCTGTGCTGGCCCCTGAAGTCACAAGAGCGAGGAGACACAGGCTGAAAGATCCCCCGCTGCAGGAAGAGGGCACCTGGGAAGTCGCTGCAGTGCAGGCCGCGCTGAAGAACGAGATATCAAGCAACACAGAACACAGGGTGGGAGTTCGTGAGGTGGAAGAGGCTTCTGTATCCAAAGGACGAGCAAAGAGGACAAGAAGGAGGCAGAGTAGAAAAAGCAGGGTGACTCTCAAGCTATCGAGCTGACAGTTCAACACAGTGCTTTCCTAGCTCTCCCCACAGAGGTCTCCTTGCCAGATTTTTTCTCTCTATCTTTAACCCAGGAAAGCCAGGATCCTGTGAGGAGAGGAGAGACACAGGAGGAGGCAGGAGGGGGATGGAGGTAGTATGAAGCTTTCCCGAGACGTACAGTGAAAACCAGACAAATTATTATTCTTGCAGGTGTTTATCCTGCATGCCTGGCCCTTCTTCTCCCGCCACAGTTCTTCCTCCTCAAAGTCAAATCAGCCCTGCCCGGTATACTCCCACCTCAAAATCATGACTCAGGCTGCTTGCTCGACTCAGAATAGCTACTCTACCAAGTCTCCCTCTCCATGACCACCAGATTGAAGATTCCCCCTTTCCATCAACCCTGATCACCCTAGGAGAAATCATTCTCACCCTCCTCTGGATCACTTAAGCGTCTGATTTCCCATTTGAGTTGACGCCACCCACTGCCTCGTTGTTCAGTTAAGTCTGCGTGAGTCTTCAGGGCGCAGTGTGTGAACTTCTGTAGGACAGACGCCTCCATCACTGTCACCTCATGATGCTTAGAGCAGTGCCCATCCCCTCCTGGTGCCCAGGAAACCACGCCGTGCCCACACAGTGACACTGAGGACAGCGTGAGGGAATATGACTCCCAATTTCCCTTGACAGCTGTGTGATTTTGTTTTACTTTTTTAACTGTCTTTAGACTTGTTCGTGCTTTCATCAGCCAGGAACCTAGAGCCGATTAGAAGTTAAGCTTTTACAAGAACACTGGTTTGATTCTTCTTTTCTTCCCACTATATCCCTGAAAACAAAGGGCTGTCAATCCCCTTTCTTCAAAACCGTAACCAGCCAAGAAAGGGAGGAGGGAGAAGGAGACCTGTCTTGCTTATGTCTTTTCTCCATTGTGAGTTGGCAGTTGAATGATTCAATCTGGGGAGTCAGAGCCCATCCCCATCTTGCTTACCCACCCCAGAATTGAGCCTCAAAATTGGGATCCTATTGAAATGTTGCCATGGTTCTTTCACCATCCCTGTCCCTCCTTCCTTTCTTGGTTTGTACAAAACACACAAGGTAGAATTCTACACGCTTTTGAGTAACTTCTCATGCTGGAAAGAGCCTTCTCTTAGGTGATATGGTTATCACCTGTGAACTTTGATTGAGCACATTTTCAATACCCACTTCCCAAAAACCCTGATATCCCACCTTTTATATCCCCTTTTCCTTATAATTATCACCCTCTCCAACTGGTCATTGTGCAACCTAAGCCCTCTGAAGCTGAATACATTTGTCGGTTGTTCACATCTTAGGATGAATTCCTCTCATAGGAAAATCCTTTCTCCCTCCACAGTTTGCGAATATCTTAGAAACTGGACCCTAATATAAGACATTAAATGATGAAGAATGAGACACTGTCTCTCTGCCTTTTTTATGTGGCCCCTTTTGGATCTTCTTTAATATTTGAAGTGCTTTAATTATTTTTCTTTTTCAAACATAGGTATATTGTGATATTAAATGTACTATCTTTTTCTTTTTTCTCTCTCTCTTTTTTTTTTGGTACCAGAGATCCAACTCTGGACCTTTCACTTGCGAGGCAGGTGCAGTGCTGCTGAGCTAAATCCCCAGCTGTACTGTCTTTTTCAATGAAACCGCTTCTCCATGCTGACTTTCTGTGGTGCTTTTGAGGAGGGGTCAGGGCATCACTGCATCAGGGAAGATCTTCAGGGAGAGGAAGGAGATGTGTCAGTGCTGGAGGGGATGGCAATGTGAGGAAATAGGAACCTGGGAGGGAGGGCAAAGCTAGCCGGAAGTGGAAGCAAGAATTGACCTGAGCAGCCCACAAGGGCAGGCGCTGCTGGACAGCAGGGTAGGACAGTGTTAGGGAGGACTCAGTGGGTGGGTTAGAGAACGCCAGTGCTTGCCATGTGGCCAGGCTTTGAAGACGAGGCTCAGGAAAGGAAAGACAACAGAATCCCCGACCCAGAACTATAATAATGGCCGTGTGTCCACGAGATTCTGGACAGTGCTTGACACCATGTTCAGAGCTCTTTTACCAAAGACAGATTCAGTTCTCATGGGACCTGAAGCCAATACATATTGGGGGGCGGGGGGGGGGGTTCCTCTAAGAAAGAAACAATGTTACAATAAGAAAATGAAAAATGAAACTGAATATTATTCAGGATAGGAAAACAAAACAAATGGCAACACTTAAAAAAACCAGCTATAGGGACTGAGGATTTAGTTCAGTGGTTCTGGCACCTGCCTCGCAAACACAAGGTCCTGAGTTTGATCCCTGGTACCAAAAAACAAGCCAACTACCAGCACAAACATCACAGAAATCCAGACAAATAACCTAATATTTTGTGTTAATTAACTACTGTTATACTTTCATAATACTTGTTTCCCCACACCTTTTGGCTCCATATTCCCTAGCTGTCTTTTAATATGAGGGTCACTTTCAGTATCTATAGAGTGAATGAAAAGCTATTCAGTCTTTCCTCCAGTATGGCTGATCAAAACTTGTTTCCGATTATTGACAGAGAAAATTCCTTTCACGTTTGCAATTGATTATGGGTGATGTGTAAGTGGGTAGAGTTGTAAAACTTGGGGAAGCCTCCATCAAGTTTCCTTTGTAATATTTCTGAACATTTTAAATTTTCTTGTGCAGCGAATAAATACTCTATGAGTTGATAGTCATTAATTAACCAGTTTCTCACTGATATCCTTGTGGCACTGAAATATGAATTCTACACTGGACATCACATCCCCTCGAGTGATGCCACACAGTAGCAGAGACAAATCAACACGGTAGGACAGGGGCATTCCTGAAGCTCTTTTACACCAGAATGGCTGGCAGTAATTTAACTAGATGCTGAAAGGATTGTAAGCCACATAGTTACACTTGCCTATAACTGAACTAAATGTGTCCCAACTCAGTTTCCCTTCACTTAAAACAACAACAAGAACTATAGTCAGGGGCCGGGGATTTAGCTCAGTGGTCCACCTCCTGCCTTGCAAGCACAAGCTCCCAAGTTCAATCCTCGGTACCAAAAAAAACAAAAAAAAACCTGTAGTCAGTCCAACTTACCCTCAGTCCAGCTCAAGGGGCAAAATGGGACAGAAAGGGAGTTGGAATAAAAAGAGACAGTGAACCAGGCATGGTAGGACACCTGTGTAATCCCAGGGCTCTGGAAGTTTCAGGCAGGAGAGTCTCAAGTTTGAGCCCAACCTGGGCAACTTAGAGACTTAGTGAGACCCTATCTCAAAAGAAAAAAATTTAAAGTGTGAAGACCCTGGTTTTAATGCCTAGTACTGCCAGAGACAGAGAGAGAGAGAAAGAGAGAGAGAGAAAGAGAGAGAGAGAGAATAGTCCCAACTGATTGTAGCTCCATACTTCCAAGCAGAACGTGAGGGATTGGAGATCGTCCCAGGCAGGGTCTGCCCAGCACTGAGGGGAGCAGCCTGAAGAACACACTTTCTCAGCCCTTGCCCCATCCTGGGCTCTCCACTGTGTCTGCAACACAGAGATGAGTAAGTCACGTTCTGTTCACAAAGAAGTGAGGAAGACAAGCACACAAACATAAATCACAAGTCAGTGTGATGACAGCTTGCCAGACAGTCTGTGAAAGCTAAGAGAGACCCTGTAGGCTTCACAGAGGAGTCATTGAAACTCTGTAGTATGGAGAGCTAATCCATCTCAATTCTTAAATCAGAGACACCACTTTTTCCTCAAAGGGACGCTTAAAGGATTTGTGTTATTGAGCGCACACATACAAGCCTAGGCTTGTTCCTTGTAAGTAGGCCATCCGTACCCATCTGCATAGACTGATTCGAGGATGCTGTTATTTTTATTTGTTTCCTACTAAGCACCCAACCTGCTACAGACCCTAGATTGGAATAGCAGTGACCTCTGCCTTTATCCAAAGTTCATATCCATCAGATCATTTGGACTCTACACTCTCCAACGACTTGATTCTCTTACCCCTTCCCATCTTCTTCCCCAACATAGATATTATATTAATCAACTTAAAGCAGATGTTCTTAGGAAAGAAGTAGGTCAGGTCTGCAGACCTAAATCCCATCCAGTCTTTTCACAAAATCTTGACTTTAAAAAAAAGTGGAATTGATATTGCAATAATTAAGAGCCAAATATGTCTACCACTGGTGGCAGATAACATTTCACTTTCATTAAGCAATATAAAATAGACGCGAGAATTCCCGACTGCCACCCTGACACACCAGGCTTTGCAGAATGAATCTTAAATTGCACTATGTCAGTCAGAGCTCAGGAGTTATCAGCATCATTTAATTAACTTTTTTTTTTGCAAAAACTAACACGTTACAATGAAATATAAAATGTAATCCCTGTGCAAACCCACCACTAATGATGGCCCCCCGGCAGAACCCCGAGCTGAGCCTAAGCCAGAATCAGAACATCCAGCCCTCTTTGTCCCTTCCCAAAAGCCTCCCTCTTCCGGCTGGAAGGAGAAGAGAGGTCGGCGACTCCTTCCCCCTTAACCTAGAAGCCTCAAGGATGGGGAACCGGTTTCCTTGCTTGAGGCACTGACTTCTCTTCTCTCCATTGTTAACTTTCAGCCACTTTCCTGTTGAAGTTGAAATGTATTTTTGTTCTTTAAAGAAAAAAACAACCTATCTTTTCCTAGTTCTCCAGAAAAGAATAGAAACTGGCATCTCTGGGTTCAGTTAAGAGAGGACTGTTATTGCCTATAAATTAATGCCATGAATGATAATGGAAATCATCACAGTATTAGATGTTGCTGTGAGAAAGGATGCATATTTAGGGTCACAAACACACACACACACACGAGATGGGAGGAGGAATAAGAAATGCCTCAGAGTCTCCAAATTCAACAGAGCCTCTCTGAAAGTGCAGCTGAGTATGAGCAGGGGCTCTCTTGGGTGGTACTGACTCTGTGTTGTAAACAGATGGCGCAGGTGTGACCATGCTGCCTCCACCCAGTGTAAGCATTCAGAACGACTCACCCTTGCAGCTGAACTCAAAATGGGCTTCAGAGTCCTTCTCCCACCACACTCTCAGTAGTTGCTGCTGGTCAACAGGTGTCACTGAAGGTTACAGGTGTAACCTACCTGTGGTTCCTTCATGAGCCAGAAGTCCTGTTTCACCTGTTGCTCCCTGTCCCGTGACAGCCACATTACATTGCCTGTCAGAGTCTGAGCGCTCTTGTCCAGATTTTCTAGCTGACGGGATGAGTCCTAAATCAGGGGTTCTTCCCAAGTAACTGAGCCAAGAGCTGTCAGGTAGAAGGGGGGAAAAAAAGAAAGAAGACTGCCCTTTTGGGGACCCCTTTATACAAGAAACAAAAAATATATATTGTGTTTGCTTTATCATCAATTCTTCAGCTAACTGTTTGTTCTTTTTTCCTTCTGTTTTCTTTCTATAAAGAAATAAAGAGTTTAAACATAGGTAAGATGAAGAACTCTTTCCTGTATAATTTGATATGGTTCGTTTGCTTCCTTGTGTTTGCTTTTTTGTTTTGTGCTTCTTGTGTAATATTGTATATTTTTATGTACCAAACATAGTAACTTTTTTATGTGCTAATTGTGTGTTGTGGATATGATAAGCTTTCGCAATTATGAAATGCAGTCAAAAAGCAACCAAATAAGCTGACAGTAATTAGAATTTCCAGGAGATGCAAGTGCGAGATAATGAACCCTCCATGAACTTTCATCCCGACTGCTCAGTGCAGCCCAGAATTGGGCAAAACAGTTGAGGCAAACTTCTGGCTTTTGTAAATTCTGGACTGGGTTCACAAAAGCTTTAATGAACTGGAAACGGGTCAAAAACTCATTTTCAACTCATTAATGATTTTTTCCCCTGGATATATGTTCATTTTTAAAAATACACACATGCATGCATACACACACAACCACACAAAGTTAATTGCCAATCTGCTGGTCCACACAAATCCAACCCTGAGATGTGTGAGCATTTTCATGGAGTTGAATCACTTTTGAGTAGCCTGCGGGGTGTAGACCAAGTGCTGTTTGTCCAAATAACCTCTGTTATTTCACTGATCAAAGGTTATCATGTAAGGCCATACTGATTCAATTCATATACAAACTGTACAGCACATGCATATACTCCACTGAAATGGACCTAGCATGCACATTCTGGGAGAAAAGGGACCTTACTTTTATTTGAAAGAGGAAAAGAAGCAAAGCTATTTGTTTCACTACTTGAAGGAATTCTTCTCTGTCCTGTGAAACATGGAAGGGGCTTCCTTATGATATTAAGTCAACATTAGACCAAGAGTGGTGTCCAACTGTATGACATCCCCAGTCAGTGGAAATTCATAGGAAGAGTCCTCTTATTCTCAGGCACCTCAAAATTGGCTGGTTATAGGGACCTCATTTGAGCCCAGTTGAGAAGGAGTAGAACTGCCCCAGAAGGACACCCAAGCCCACCTTTGTCCCGTCACCCAGCTAGGCAAGCAGGGCCGTCCATCTGACTTGAGCAGCTCTGTTATCCTTGGTTGGAATTAGCATGGGGCCATGGGAAAGAATGATCTCCCTGAGCAAGAACTAATCCCAGACCCTCAGTTGCCTGCTTTTATAGCAGACACTTGGAAAAGCCTCCTCAAATCAGGCTCCCTAGAAAGTCCAGAATTAATTATCCTGCTCGTAGATAGGCACAGATGTGCAACGCCTTGATCTTTCTGTTGATCATGCCAGCTACTGCTCATTCAGTAAGAGAGTGCAGCATCTAATTTAAAAAATGGCATGAGTTTTTCCCTTTCTGCCTTAATTTGTTTTGCATATCCGGATATTCTCTAATGACTTAGCCAAAAAAAGAGGAAGAAGAAAGATGGAAGGAACGGGAAGGGAGGGAACCCAGCTAGCCTACCCTTACAAGCTAGTTATCTAGGCTGGGATTTTAGAAAGACCTTGACTTCTAGTTCAGTTGTGTCTTATAGCAACCCAAGGAGAAGCTGGGATTAAAGATGGTCTCGCCTCACAAATTACCCCTAAAAATAGCTCCCTAGCTCCTTTTTCTCCTTAAATCGGGGAAGAACCCAAGTGGTAGTAGTGTTTTAATCAGTGATTTACCAGCTAATGGCTACAGGACAAATGTGCCAAACACTGTCATCACCTTCACCTTCCCTCCACCTCACCTATGCCCTCTTCTCACTGGCCCAGAGTCTAATTTTAAAATATCAGGAAGACAAGACCCATGCTTGTCTCAGGCATGTGGTTTGAAAAGCTGGTTTACCCCACTGGAGCAGAGAGGCAGCCCCTGCAGAGTTTCAGCTTGAATAACCGCTATTGACCATGTAGGAGCCCTCATTCTGATTCCACTGCAAGGGGGGAGAACTGTTGGGTTTTGAGCTCGAAAGAACATTAGGGATGATCCAGGCTGATTTCTTCATTTCCCAAGTAAGGACGCTAACACCCAGAGCACCCAGAGACTTAGCTAAGGTCACCATGTGGTCTGAGTTAAGTTTTGAGTTTCCTGTGTCTTATCCTGAGCCAGGTCTAGCTCTCACTCTGTCCTGGCTGGCCCTTGCACAAGACTGGTAGGTGCACGGCAGAGGAAGTGCCCCAGTTTCTGAGCCTCACACTTTCCTCGTCCACTTCACATGCACAAAGCCATTCATCTCCTAGTGTGGCATAAGGCCTTGGCAGTCACCCTGTGACCTCACTGCTACCCAAGATTTGAAAATTCTTCACTCTGTAATTCAGATTTAGCATGATAGTCACATTTCTTCACTCTGAACGCCAACTGTATTGTATCTACACTAAAGAACAGTAAGATCTAAGGTTGGAAGGGGGATACTTCTGGGGAGCTTCCTGTCAAAAAGGAAAACTCCAGTTGCCTCGGTAGTAATGATCTAGTGCCTTGGAGGCATTAGGATGCGTCGATGAAATAGGGAGCATTGTCACATGGCCGTTTTCCTCAATCCCATTTGAGAATATGCTAAGCCCACAGTGGGAATAAAAGGCTGACACGCACTTGGTATTGAACGACTTGACTATCCTGCCCATGGAACAGGACTAGAGTGGGATCTTCTGTATGGCTCAGTGACACAATAGTCTGTTAGTGTGTGCGATGGAATCTCTGAATTTCATGATAGCATGAGGCACTTACGTCTCATTAGAAGTAGTGAAGAGCCATGTTATATTAGAACACTAAGTTATGATTCTTTCCAGTTCACTAAAGTGGAAAGATGCTAGAGAAGATAAGAGTCAGCTAGGGTTTTTGTCTTCTCTCTGACCAAGGAGGCAGCTGTCTAGCCCCTCCCTCATTTCTCTTTGTGCTTCTTCTACCAAAGCAACAACCCTGCGCACAAGTACTACTTGGCCGTAGACCCAGTGTCCGGCTCACTCTTCGTCTCTGACACCAACAGTCGCCGGATCTACCGTGTCAAGTCTCTGAGTGGAGCCAAAGATCTGGCTGGGAATTCAGAAGTCGTGGCAGGGACTGGCGAACAGTGTTTGCCCTTTGATGAAGCCCGCTGTGGGGACGGAGGGAAGGCTGTGGACGCAACCCTGATGAGCCCGAGAGGTAAAGCCTGCAGAAGAAGAAATCTCAATCCCAGATAGAGCTTGCCTCGAGCTTTGGTGTCTTTTTGAAACTGAACGGAGCCCAGCAGTCCAAAACACAGCTTTCCCTAAAATAATTTAACTCTGATAGATCGCTTTGGTGTGTGGGTGGGTGTTTAAATTTTTTTACTTATTTGAAGTAAACTTATTCACCCACATATACTACAAGTGAACAGTGGGGTGGATTGCACCTGGAGGTTTCTGACTGCTGCTAGTCACGCAGCCAGAAGGAGATCTTAGTTCCAGAGGCCAGAGTACCAACTATGGGAGATGGAGACAGAGCGAAGCCCAGTAGGGGCCTCCAACCACTCCCAGACTTTTGTGAGAGACAATACACTGTAGAAAGTCTAAAGCTCAGTGCCTGCCATGTTGTAAATGCCCAAGAAAATGGTAGCAATTAAGAATGGGTATAATTTCCAGGGGTCTGGAATGGAGGAGTTCTTGGAACCAATAGGTCCCCATTTGAAAAGGACTAAAGGTGCTTAAGGTTAAGGAGCAATCATCTGAGGGTCTAATTCCTGTTAGCATTTTTAGCTAGTGTGAAAGCAGCTTGCAGCATGGATTAAGGATGTGAAGCCTTGTACTTGGGCACTGAAATGAAAACGAAAAAGAAATAGAAACCAAGGTCTGTGTCTTATCAGCCCTGCTGTGACAGGGGAATGCTAGGGCTTGGTGTCCCCCAGGGCATTGGAGTGCTGATTTGAGTTAAGGCTTAATTGGGAATTCTTCCTGGAGGATGGATACATTTTGCATTGGGAGTACATGACTGAGAACCACTGTTTCTCAGCCACATTGTTGGAATCATCTGTGAAGGATATTCAAGTGATTTACCACCAATAATTTTTAGAGCAATGAACTTTGGAAATAACTTCTTTGCAAAAGAGAGTAAATATAGTCAGTTCCTCGTTTGTTCATTGGCAGCCTTAGTTCATTGGCAGCCCAGGGTTCTTCCTTCAGTTGGAGGGAGGGATGGTGCTATCGCCAGCACCCCAGGAATTATGCAGATCTCACTGCAGTGCCCCTAAGACTGAGGACCGCTGCTCTGTGTGTTCTAATCCATCCCAGTAAGGTCCAAGCAGAGAACGAGTGGGAAGGCATCCTCCACCTCCACCCCGCAAACCAGATTGCTTTCCAAGAGCTATGTTCCCACTGGTTGTCCTTCCACAGGTATTGCAGTGGATAAGAATGGACTCATGTACTTCGTGGATGCCACCATGATCCGGAAGGTGGACCAGAATGGAATCATCTCCACCCTGCTGGGCTCCAATGATCTCACCGCTGTCCGGCCACTGAGCTGTGACTCCAGCATGGATGTAGCTCAGGTGGGACTCTCTTACTTCTCTCATCATTAAGCAACTTCCAGTTCTTGGCCTGACATTTTCACCTGCTTCCTGTTTGAACTGGAAGAGGAATGGTAGGGTGAGATACGGGCACTGATCACAGGTTGTTTGGAGAAGGCCCCCAGGTGAACTAGGCAGCAAGATGGAGTGGAAAATCTCAGGTAAGAATGGGAGAGAATGTGTAAGAGAGAGGGAAATGCAGCTCAGAGAAGTCAAGTTGGTGACATACTCCAGCCGTTGCAGATTACAGGGTAGGAGTTGCTGTGTAATTACTGTTCTTCTCCATCATTATTGCAGGTTTGAGGCTGTACCATATGGTGTTATGTGTCAATCAGAGCATCCCTGTTAATCAGAAATGATTGCATCCTCACTATATAAACCTTTACTTTGTGCAAGAGTAACTAGAGCACAGCCCTCTGTAATAGTCCCCAAAGTGTGTGTTTAATCAAGGCTCTTAGGGTGGCAGAGAATAGAGGCTTCCTTGAATGTGTAGCATGTTCTCAAACAGCCTGGAATGTACATTCACTTTTCCTGTAAGAGTCTTTTCAACCCTCGGTCAACCTCATAAATTTCAGCTCAAATTTCACAACAAGCTGACAACTTGCTACTAAGATTTTTATTTCAAATTCCACAGAGGAGGAATGTGTTTGATTCAGTTCTTTTTTTCTTTTCTTTTCTTTTTTTTCAGGCAAACACTCAAGTTGAAGTTTCCTAGCCAGCCTGTACTTTGTGTGCCCTTGAGTTACAGTCACCTTTAAAGCTACATAGTCCTTTTCTGTTATTTAGATAAAGATGTCTTACCCAAATGAACATAGCCTTCTCAGGCTCATGGGCTGGATTCCACTGGTCCCTTTTGCAGTGAACAGCCTGTGCACCATATATGAGAGCTTTGACCCTGGTTAACCATCTGGGACTGGGAAACAGCATCACGGGTAGAACTGGCAGTCTACTCTAGTCAGGGCATGTGAAGGTGCAGGAGATGTTTGTCACACGGTCAACAAGGGCAGTGGGCAGCTGGTTCATTGATGCACACCTCTAATGGAATGTGTTAAAGGCTAAGTCTCTTTTTCTAGGTGCATAAAAATCAATGTACATGCCCCACGTTTGAACACTGGATATAGTAGAGCCTGTTCCTTAATGTGTTACCGTGTCATCGACAGGTTCGCCTGGAGTGGCCAACAGACCTTGCTGTCAACCCCATGGATAACTCCCTGTATGTTCTAGAGAACAATGTCATCCTTCGAATCACTGAGAACCACCAAGTCAGCATCATCGCAGGACGCCCCATGCACTGCCAGGTTCCCGGTATTGACTACTCGCTCAGCAAGCTCGCCATCCACTCAGCCCTGGAGTCAGCCAGTGCCATTGCCATCTCTCACACGGGGGTGCTCTACATCACTGAGACAGATGAGAAGAAGATTAATCGTCTACGCCAGGTAACAACCAATGGAGAGATCTGCCTCTTAGCTGGGGCAGCCTCAGACTGCGACTGCAAAAATGACGTCAGTTGCATCTGCTACTCAGGAGATGACGCCTACGCAACTGACGCCATCTTGAATTCCCCATCCTCCTTAGCCGTAGCTCCGGATGGCACCATCTACATTGCAGACCTTGGGAATATCCGGATCCGGGCAGTCAGCAAAAACAAACCTGTTCTTAATGCCTTCAACCAGTATGAGGCTGCATCTCCCGGAGAGCAGGAGTTGTATGTTTTCAATGCCGATGGCATCCACCAGTACACTGTGAGCCTGGTGACAGGGGAATACTTATACAATTTTACATATAGCGCTGACAATGACGTCACTGAATTGATTGACAATAATGGCAATTCCCTGAAGATCCGTCGGGACAGCAGTGGCATGCCCCGCCACCTGCTCATGCCAGACAGTCAGATCATCACCCTCACTGTGGGCACCAATGGAGGCCTCAAGGTCGTGTCCACACAGAACCTGGAGCTTGGCCTCATGACCTATGATGGGAACACTGGGCTCCTAGCCACTAAGAGCGACGAAACAGGATGGACAACTTTCTACGAGTAAGTGGGTTTGTAAAGTATCTCTGCCCTAGCCGGCATCAGGATCAGGATTGGCTGTTTGTGTTGCTTTTAAAATTGCTTAGTCAGGGCCAGGGATTTAGCTCAGCGGTTTCGCCGCCTGCTGCGCAAGCTCAAGGACCCGAGTTCGATCCCCGGTACCATAAAAAAAAAAATTGCTTAGTCACATTGTCTTCCCAACTTTAATGATTTTTCATGGCCTCAAGATATTCATGTCTCTCTCCCTGACTCTTAAGTGATTTGCTCTATTGGGTCTCTGATATTGAACATCCTCCCTACTAGCACTGGGAATTCCTGTTGTCTGCTTGCCATTCAACTTTCAGGATATTGGACACCCACAGCACCTGGAAGATAAAGTGCTGATTAACTTTGCTGATTATTCGTGTTTGCCATGGGTGCGGAAATGAGAACCTAAAAGGCAAGCTCCCAGTGGGGCTCCTGTAATTTGCCAGTAGGTCCAGCAATACTTGATTGCACAGACAGGTAGATAAACTCTGAATTTCCTCTTTAGCAGAAGAAGATCAATACAGATAAAGTGCTAGGTATATTAAAAGATGTGAAAGCTGGTCATATTTCCCTTAACAATTATCTCATACTTAATAGTCTTACCATTTGTTTTGCCAAAAAGCTGTTCTCCCTAGCTCCTGAAGCAGCTCTTGGTCAAGCTGCCTGCTCCTCCAGGTGTTAACCAATGAGATGCTGGTTGGCGGAAACTGCTAAGACCTGATCCCCCCAATCACTGCCTGAGATAGGAATGGAATTTATAAGTATCCAGCTGTCCTTGATGGGGAAGAAGTGCGTTAACCTTTATGTATATGAAGTCCTTGCTTGCTTTCTGTCTGGATGTTGCGGCTAGGTAAAAATACAGTAAGTTAGGGGGAGGATGTCACAGAGTGAAAAGGGAACAAGAGAAAGAACAGAAGATTTCACTGTTGATGACTCCTAAATCTAGCAACATTCATTTCTCATTCGTTTGTCAATGGGCTTGGGAAGATTTAAAAGGCAGCTGTTGCCACCTGCTGGAGATTTGCTGAATTATACAGTTGCTTTCCTTGCTGTGGCTTCCTTCTTTGGACAAAGATGTCTTCTAAAGCCTCTTCACGTTCTTCAGGGCCCTGGGATGTGATCACACTTCACCAGCCAACGTTTCTTCCCTTGAGGGCACCATCCGAGTGCCACCTTTAGCTCTCGCCCCAAGTAGTTGGAGCTGTACTTTAACCCACACACTTCCTGGATTCTCATTTTCCCCTAGTGGCACTTTCTCCTGAAGACGCAGCACATTTAGAAATTATTTGTTGGTTGAAGGCAGGGGAGGGGAATGGGAAAAAAAAGAAGCAGCGAGATATATCATGTACAGGTACAAATTCCCTAGGATGAGTCTTACCATTATGTATATCTAAAACGTAGCAGTAAAATAAAAATAATAATAGAAATGATTTGTTGAGGCTCCTGGGTAAAGGTGAAAGGCTGCTCTAAGGAGCCCCCCTCAGGCTGTCTTGAAAGCCATAGTGAGCGGCTCTGGTGTAGCTCTGGTGTAGCTCTGGTGTAGCTCTGGTGTAGGTCTGGTGTAGGTCTGGTGCAGTTCCCAGCATCCTCCAGCAAGGGTCTCCAGCTTAATGAAAACATAGGTTTGATTCGTACATTTTTAACTTTTTTTCGAGAGTTAGCATAAAACTGAATAATTTTTCTCTTCATTGAATAAGCTGGAGGGGTTTTCATAATATGGATAGATTTGACAATTTCCACTATTTCATTGATAAGGCTGAGATATATAAGGTTTTCTTAGGCTTCCTAGGAAAAAAAAAAAAACGAGGATTGTGAATTCTCTTGGTTTTGTAACACTTGTTATGCATGGTCAGCAAATTGGCTGTTTAAAAATAAACACAAACTCCACTTCCTGTTGGGGCTGTGTGCTCATGGCCAACACTGCATACCCTCAGCCAAAACTCTAGCAAGAAGAGTTAACAGAGTAGTGAGGAAAACCACATAAGGATACTGGCAGACAGTCTGACCTTCAGTGAGAGCATCGTTAAGGGGATCCTGCTTCCCACCCTGTTACACAAAGCAAGGTGCACACTGTCCCATATCTGGCAGCAGTAGCAATACCTTCTGTCTGCATAGAACTTCACAGATAGAGAAGCCGTTTATCTGTTCAACATCACAGTGATCCTGTGAGTAGACATTTGATTGCCCTCGTTTTATACACGATGAAACTGAGGCTCCGAGAAGTGTGCCAGTTCTTCCCAGGCTGCACCGAGAGTCCGTGGTGAAGCAGGCTTATTCAGATGTCCACATCTATTCTTTGCATGATGCACCACTGTCCTGAAACAGGGCTGTGGATGGAATTTGGAGCTCCACCTTTGGACTCCACATGGGAGTTTTTCCTAAACTGGGAGATGTTCCCAACAAGGCAAGCCTATTAATGACTTGGAGCAAAGAGATGTATAGAGAAAAATAACAATAATGACTCACCCTGGTCTCATTTTATGATCAGAAAGTTTCAGGAAGCCCCAGCCTTGGGAATAAGATTTCCCCAGATGCAAAGCCACTGGGTCCTGAGAGAAGTGTCCTGATCAAGGCATGTCCTAAGGGAGCACAGGTTTTCACAGCCTTCCACAAAAGACAGTGTGCTCCTGAGTGACAGGGGCATGGACGTCAGTTCTGCCGCATAATTTCTGATTGACCCTGGATAAGTGAATCAGCCTCTCTGAACCTTAATGCCCACATTTGTCAAATGGCAATAATAATGCATACTATATACTAGAGGCGTCACAGCAATTCATTGAGCTACTCCACTTTTAGAGATTAGCAAAGCACTTGGCACATGGAAGTTGAAGAAAGAACAGAGGCTAATAGAAGATGAGGGTAATTACTAAGCACACCTCTGTCTTCACCCCATCCCTCGGGTTCCAAACAAGCGCTGGATCCACAGTGGACACAGGAGTCAGACAGGTAGGGACTTATTTTGGAAAAGCAGAACCAAAGAATGTAGCTTGTACGTTAGGTCTTCTTAATGTCTCACTTTGAATGTATCCTGCTCTCCTCATCCCCAGTACTGCTGCTCTTCTATCTGTGGCAGGTGCAGAGTCTGCCTCAGCCAACTGGGCGCAGAGGCGCAGAACTCAACACCCATGACAGGCCCTCCAGAAGAGAAAAACTGGAAAGAGCTCTCAGTGATGTTCTTCCTGTAAACAGTGGGGAGGGAGAGGATGGTGGATCCCGGAAAGGGGTGGGAGGAACCTGTAGAATAGAGTTCAAGAGTTATTTTCTCGGAGGAGCAGGTTTTGCAACTTGTGAGTCTGGAATGGGCCCCTTTGATAGCTGTCATCTCCTTCTCCCTCCTCTCTGTGCTAGAGATCTGGGCTGGAATGGAGCAGACATGGAAATGCCCATGTGGAAACCCTGTCTCGTCTGTTGAATTCCCAAATAGGAGAAGAGCAGCTGAGGTTTATTTGTGTTCTTTTTATCTAACTAACATGAGTGCAAGGATTTTTGTTCATTATGTCCCTGGCCATTCCCCTAGGACTCTGAACAGTGCCTGGTACATAATAGGTTCTTTGTGAATATTGACTAAAGGAGTTAGATCCACTGGGTCAGCTTTGAGATCTCACTGCTGGAACCCACAGCTCTTACTCCTGCACACATAGTTATTTGCACAGAGAACTGGATCTGCAGATGCTCCATGGAGGAAATGAGCAAAGCTGTCGGTAGCTGAAGCTTCCCAAAAGGGAAAGAGGACATGCTCTTCTCCCTATGGCCCCTACAATTCCAGTCTCTCCCCCAATCCTCTGTTGCCCCAAAGTGGAAGTTCTGGCCCATCTTTCTTCTCTCAGAAGGAAGCACAGCAGCCTTTATACTGTAAGGGTCACCAGACCACAGGGGATGGGATTAAAGTCCTCAATGTGTGTCCCAGAGAACGAACTGACACAGTCCCAACTGCAGCGGGAGGAAGGGCGCTTTCTGTCCCTGAGCACTGTACTAGACATCCAGAACTCAAACACTTACAAATGCCTCCCTTTCTTATTTTAAGTATCTTCTCTGCTTGTAAAACATGAAGGCAAGTCATATTGATTACAAATAATTCCTAACATATTAGAACACACAAAGAAGAGAACAAAGATTACTCAAGATTGCACAGAGAACCAACTCTTAATGTTTAGATGTTTCTGTGTTCAGAGAATTTCTTCTGCACGCAGACACTTATATGCTCTCGAGGAGTATCCTTAATACTCAGCTATTCCACTCAACAATATATGTATTTTTCTGTGGCAGTAAATAAAAATCTATGCCATCCATTTTGATAGCTTCCTAGGTTTCTACTTTATGGATAGATCCTCAGTTACTTAATGAATCTTTCATCAGTGAACATTTAGATTGTTCTAATTTGTCACTATCACAAATTGCATCTAGGTAGCCATCAGAGGGGCAGTTTCTTTACAGGTGAGAAAACCTCAGACTCAGAAGGCCCGAGTGCCCATCCCTCCTTACACACCAGGACCTTCCAGGGAAGGTATTACCTCCCCTGTCTCTCCTCTTGTCACCAGCTTCATGTGGGAGAGCTAAAAGGCCTCCACATGCAGATATTGGAGTCTGTTTCCCTCTCTTGGGGTGTGAGGAGGACCCAGTTTTGGCATGAATGGCTCTTCCAGGGTAAGGAGATACTGTACCCACTAGAACAGTGAGGCTTCTTGTGAAAGGAGGTAGCAGAAAATAACTCCACGCCCTGAGGAAACTAAAGATGACACATAGACAGAAGGCAGAAAAAGTCCAATTTCAGGCCCTTTGCAGGCAGCAGGGTAAGACCACAGTTCAACTGGACTTGGGTACAGAGGACAGCTGAGCTCTACAGTCCCTGGAAAACTACCCAGGAAAGTGCTTGGGGAGCAGAGACATGGGTGGTTTGGGGCAACAGGACCAAGGAACAGGCTACATGAAGCCTGGCTTGCCATGCTTGAGGTGAGACAAAGAGGAAGCATTTGGCCCAGACTGGCTTTTGAGGGGTCTGTGAGGTGACAAGACTGTACCCCAGTAGAGGATTCCAGGTTTGGATGGTCTCAAATGCCAGATTTTGACTTGACTGAGCAGTGACTGGGAAAGTGTGGTTTGCTGAGCAGAGAAGGTGATGAGCAGAGAACATGATGAAATTGATATTTTGGGAAGATTAATCTGGTGGCTTTATAAAGAGCAAAAGATGCTTATAAGTAGCAGTTCTCTTTAACTTAGGAAAGCATAATTAAGTACAGAGACGAGAGGAAATGTTTTTGCTATGATGAAGCCACTTACACCAGCGGGCAGGAGGAAATACCACCACCAGTTCTCAGGGCAGGCTGAGGCTCTGGTTAGGACAGGGTCCTTCAGTGTGGGACACTACCAGCCACTCCACCTTCCACCCTCTTTCTCTGGCCCCATACATCTGTCCCTTGTATAATTCTGAATGTCAGGTCAACCTTCATCTTCACTGACTGTACTTCCAACCAGTGTGTTTCTTCTACCAGCTATGACCACGAGGGCCGTCTGACTAATGTGACACGCCCCACAGGGGTGGTCACCAGTCTGCACCGGGAAATGGAGAAATCCATCACCATTGACATTGAGAACTCCAACCGGGATGATGACGTCACTGTGATCACCAACCTCTCTTCGGTAGAAGCCTCCTACACAGTGGTACAAGGTAAACCCCACCCCAGCATCTCTGTGCCCCAAACTTGCTCCCAGTCCCAGCACTCAGCCAAGTCCAGAGGGAAGAACTCCCTAGCTTGGGGGACTTCCAGACACCTAGAGCGCTCCTCAACTTTCTGTCTTATCCAAACATCCACATGCGGCAACCCAGCTCTACAGAAGAGGAATTAAGATGTATTATATACATGTACCAACTCCCTAAAAAGGAGTGTAAACATCATGTACTACACACACATACTAAGAAAAGAGAGGGGATCTTGTTTTTTTAAAGAAGTCTCAATCAGATTCAGATGTCATTCACACTCAACCAAATATCTAGATACTTGGAAATGTCTACTTATCTGAAAATGTCCATTTTTATCCCTCATCTTTTTTCCCCATGTCTTACCCTGTATCACCACCACTCTCCACCAACAGAGCACACACAGCTTTCTTCTCAAGGGCTATTTATTCTCTTGATCCCACCACTAGATTTGGGGGTTTAGTTTGATTTGGCTTGGTTTGGTTTGGTCTGGTTGTTGTGTTGCTGTTGCATTCTGATTCTCTCTTTCAAACATGTCTTTCTTGAGTTGGTTACCCTGGAGTCTGAAGTCTTGAGCAATTTCTTGCCAGAACCAGGGTCTCCAAGGGTTCTGACCTCCCTGGGGTTATTGCTGCCATTAAACATCCCACATGGTCCAGGACAAGCACCGGGGCAGGCGAGAAAAGGACATGTGCAGATTAATTTTTCTTTTAATTGAGATATAATGTCAGTGGGTTAGCCAGTTAGTTGTCAGAGGATAAAAGTGTCCTCTCGGCAGATAAATGGTGACATTTCTGGACTATCATCCTGAGACAGAGCCTGTTTCAATGAGTCTCTTTCTGCTCTATGGAATGATTAATGATTTAGATTCTGTCCTTCTGTATGCTGGCTGGAGTCACAGAGTGACAGGTACACCCTGGCTCACTCCCCCAGAAGCTGAAATCTCAGAGGCCCACCCTGCCCAGCTCCTTCACCCAGGCAGTTGGGAAGCAGTGTATCTGTAAAAAGAGTTTCTGACTCACACTGCCTTCCTGAAACTTTCCAATAAAGAAAAAGGTCAAAGTCTGATTGACTAGTGTAAATTCGTTCAAGAAGACAAACGGCACATTATTGGCACCCACTGGCTCGCTCCACCTCAGTTATTTGAGTCGCTTGAGAGTTCCCTCTCATGGAGGTGGTATCGAGGTTGAATTAGTGACAATGGCATTAGCAGACGAAAGGGGTCTTTTTCTCTTGAATCTGTTGAAGAAGCCTGGACTTGCTTTGCAATGGATCTGACCTGTGGTTAGACCAGCAACCTTGGGTTAGATGTTAGGCAAGAGAGGGGGAAAAATTAAAATAATTTGCCTTTCATTTACTTTTTTTTTTCATATGAGCTAAAATGTGTATGTTAAAGTTCAGGAATTTGATTGACACAAATTGTGTAGGCAATAGACATTTTTAAATGTTTAAATGTACTATTAATAGTCTTCTGTGAGTAAAAGAAAAATATCACGGCATAATTATTTCTGGAGTGCCACATATTAATAATGTTTTTCTTCACATGGATCAGTAACATCTCTGCTACTCACCTTCACATTGTATGTGTGCTAATTGAAGGCAGCCTTCGATTGACAGCTGCAAAGTACCATGGAAACCTGTAAAAATAGGGGTTCTATTCTCTTCTGACTAATCGAGTGGATAATTTCTTTCCCTCTCCCCACCTCCACTCGTGCTTTTCCCAGATCAAGTGCGGAACAGCTACCAGCTCTGTAATAATGGCACCCTGAGGGTGATGTACGCCAACGGCATGGGTGTCAGCTTCCACAGTGAGCCCCATGTCCTTGCGGGCACCATCACCCCCACCATTGGGCGCTGCAACATCTCCCTGCCCATGGAGAATGGCCTGAACTCCATCGAGTGGCGCCTGAGGAAGGAGCAGATTAAAGGCAAAGTCACCATCTTTGGCAGGAAGCTCCGGGTAAGTGGTCCCACCCAACTTGTTGCCACAAAGTGAAAGGCCACATAGCACACCCTTTCCTCACAGTGCAGAGAAGAATTTCCCAGATTCCAAGCCTTCATTCCTCCTTTCTTCTGTGGAAAGGGTAAGTTCTTGCCTCAGAAGGTAGGTACCACATCCCTTTGGGTCTTGTACCTTGAGGCAAATGTTCTCCATTTCCTAGGACTGAAAAGGGCAGCCATCTCCTGCTAGGGGGTTCACATTATGCTGTAGCTGGGCAACTCTTTGGTCTTCTTTCGCATTTGCCATCTTATCCCCCAATTCTCCCTGTCTGGACAGTTCGACAAATGAATTGGTGCTGGTGCCTACTGTGGGCTGGGTAATTTAGTAAGTACTGGAAGAATAAAACCTGTAAAGTAAGGCCAGGGATTTAGCTCAGTGGTTCCACCACCTGCCGTGCAAGCGCAAGGTCCTGAGTTCCATGTCAGGTACCAAAAGAAAAACAAAACTATAAAGTATATTCTCTTCACTCCAGGCCATATGACAGAACACAGGGCCGCAGAATGGTCACGGGTTAAGTGAAAAGACAAAGGTTCCTCCAGGGTCTGATGGAGTCCTAAGAGCCCAAGGGAAGAGATATCAGCCAGCCTGCAGGGGCCAGGGAAGGCACCCAGAAGGGAATTAACAACCAAACCACAGGAGGACGTTTAAACCAACCCTAGTTTCCCCACTAAGCAAAGTGCCCCAGTCACATCTTCTGAAAACTGATATATAGCATGTATTGAGGACTTCTGTGTCACAGGCATCCTAGTACATGCTTTGCTTGTATTATCTAATTTTAACCTTTTGACAGCCCCAGTGAGGCAGTGACTGTCACCTCCGTTTTTCAGATGAAGAAACAAGTCCAGAAAAGCTAATGACTAAGGATGCAATGGCTAGAACACAGGCAAGCCAGGCCTCAGCCCCGTTCCATCTTTCTCTCTGGCTTGTCCACCAGTTACCTTAACCACTGTCCCAACACAACTTCCTGTTTTGATTCCCTGTCCAACAGATAATCTTAGCACTAGTAGATCGCGGTCCTGTCAGTTACCTGTCACCCGTGGAAACTTGTTCCTACTATTACGCTAAGCCTTTCCCCAGGGTCAGGAGAAGAATATGGAGGCTCCCGGTTTTAATCAGATCCAACACATGTGTACTGTACCCTTACCATCAGCTGTGTGCGTGTGATATATGATGCAGCAAACAAAGCCCCTCACCCCCTGCAGCCTTCATTCAGGGGTGCAGGAGAACAAAAGAGAAGGGCAGATGATAAGTAAACTACTACACAACTAAAACAATCCCAGATCAAGACAAGCACTAGAAAGATAGTAATCCACGGCACATGGCAGAGTTTAACAGATGCTTTGGAACCCCGGAAAGCAGCAGATTCAGCCTCGGCAAACCATGGGCCATAACTTTTGCAGTGTGTTACTAGATTGAAATGCAGTCAGCCCAGGTGACTTCCCTGCAGAGCCAGGCCACTCCTTATTAAGATTCTGCCTTTGTCTGGCTGGAGTTTAATTCTCCACATTAGGTTATCAGCAGTCTCCCATGTTTTTCTTCCTCTGCTGGTATCTGCAAAGTTGCAAGCAGCAGTATCTTCCTAAAGACAAAAATGGAATGAGATTAGTAGCTAAATCCTTAATGACTGGATTTCGGGTCTGTGTAATTGATTTTTGATACGCTGTACTGTAGAAGTTGATTATAAGTAGTAATAGCGCCTTTTCTCTGATAAATCAGTTATGCATTTTGACTAAGTTTTCAAAATAAAGATAAATGTGGCCCTAAAATAAAATGGCTATAATCCCAACCCTGAATATTAAAAATCTTAATAATGGTACTTGTGGTAATTAGCAGAAGTTAGGCACGCAAGTCTTATAACTGAATTTCTGCCAGGGTTAGATTTGCTGGCATCATGTTTATGCAAATCAAAACACAGCTTTATCTATCAACACCTCAACATTTAATTGTCTGGTGTTAGTTCCTGTAACAATAATCACATATCCATTTAGCTCTCTTAAATGAAAATCACTATGAGATTATAACAGGTTGAGTGGACTGAAAATGTAATTTGAAAATGAGGGAGAAAGCCTGGAATTTATTTGCATCTCATTTATTTTAATTCAGTTCATAAACTGTTTAGTGAATGAAATGAAAGCAACTCCTGGAAATTGCAGGGGAGCAGTTGGAAGAAGGGGGAAGAGAAGTGTTGAGTGTGCTGTGGATTAGGGGAGCTTGGGAGTGGCCTCCTCTCTGATGCTTCATAAGCTCGTGGCACAGAGTGTGCAGCCCCCGACTGAAAAGTGTCTGGTGGCACCCGTAAGTTGGGGTCCCCGTGACAGCATGGGCTCCTCTCTTCCTGTCTCCAATCTGGACATTTCTTTTCACTCCTGCTCCACTGTCAGGTGGGGCCATGACATTTTTTGTTCATTCAAAAGATATTTACTACGTGCCAGCTCTATCTGCAGCACCATAGAATGACTAAACTGCAGAGAGAAAGAGAAAACAGGGTCTTTGAAACCAAGGAGTTTACATTTTAGTGAAGAAGACAGTGTAGCTGGATGTGGTGGCAGTAGCCCCAGCTACTTGAGAGGGTCACAAGTTTGAGGCTAGCCTAAGCAATTTAGGGAGACCTTGTCTCAAAATAAAAAACAAAAGGGGATGAGGATGTAGGTAATTAGTTCAGTCCTCAGTAGTACAAGAAATGAGGAGAAGGAGACAGTGCCAATAGTATGATGTAAGCCAATACTACAAGGAAAAGGATGCTTAATTGTATCAGTCAAGAAAAGATAGGCTATAGCCAGGTAACAAATGGACCCTGAAATCTCAGGACCTTAACATGTCACAATCTGAATGAGGCAGGCTGCTCTTCTTAACAATGATTTGCCGAAGGTGCTCTGTCTTGTGATCCTGCCATCTGAAGCCTGTGGCCCCCACAGTTACAGCAGCTGGGGAAGAGAGATTGGATGTTTACAGGCCTGGTCATGCCACACATCCCTTCCACCCAGGCTGGCGAGAACAGAGTTGCGGGACCTCTCAATTCACTGTGAGGAAGCTTGGGCACTGTCTTCTCTGAGTGCCCAAGCAGGAGAAGGCAAAAGGAGATTCGGTGAACTTAAAGCAGAGTTTCTGCGGCTCCTGTCAGGTCTCATGGCTGACAGGGGACCGGGATGGTTTCACAGAGAGTCAGAATCATTTCTGAAGAACAGCAGAAGTATCAGCCAGACAAAGGCAAAAGAAGTGATTGTCTGTGAAAAGGGTCTGGGGGTTTAGCTCAGTGGTTTCGCCACCTGCTGCACAAGCTCAAGGACCTGAGTTCGATCCCCGGTACCAAAAAAAAAGTTTTTAAATGAAAAGGGCCAAGAGACCAGCAAAGGAATGGCATTTCAGAAAGCTCTGAGTCACTCGGGGAGGCCAGAAAGAAGGTGTATATGTAATGGGAGGTGCAGGAGAGGAGCTGGTTGGCTGGGAAAGCACATAGAGTGGACTGTTACACGGGAGGCTGGCGTATATCCTGAGGGCAATGGGGGAGTGTCCCCAGGTTGAATTAGCAGAGTGATATGCAGCATGTGCTGCCCTGGAAAGATCTCTGCAGCTTCCTCCAGTGTAGGGGAAGACAGGTGAAGAGGCAAGAGAGGAGAAGAGGGACCGCATGGAGGCTGTTGCACTAACCCACACAAGCGCTGAATCACTAGCAGGGAAGAGATAAAGAGAAAGACTGAGAAAGTTGAGAGAGATTCAGCAGGTACAGTTAACAGGATGGGCAGATAGCAGGGCTGCTGTGTTGTGCTGACCTTCTGAGATGGCTTCCCCATCTCCTGTGACTGGGAAGGGTGGGTGGCCCCCCAGGCTCTGTGGGCTATGAGGAGTGAGACTGGAAGCTGACACCAAGACAGACATGAGACTGTGGTGGCTCCACCCCTGCCTTTTGCACTGGGGAAGAAGCCGAATGAAGTTGAAAATGCAGCCATTTAGCCAACATGGGTAATAGCAGGGACTGTATGCATTGTTCCTCCACGGATGCCAGGGAGTTTAGTGTGGGGTGGCAACTGGTGATACCATGCATTGAAGCAAATGGCCTGATTTTCCCAGGGACTGGCCAGCTCCTGGAAGTCTGGCCAATTGCAGGGTCTGAGATTCCAAGATTCCAAGTATCCCTAGAGTTGAAAGAAAATCAAAATTCCCGGCAAAGCCACCATGATAGAACCATGCCAGTAACATTCTGAACCACCTCACTGCCTCATCTTGCCACAGTCCGACAGTTAGAGACGTCTCTCAGCAGAGGAAAGTGACAGCCTCTCTCCTTGCAGACTGGGAAATTTTTAGATGGACGGACCACATCCTTCCACCAAAAATTATATAATGGAATTAAAAAGTAGGAAATTCCATTTACTATGAGCGTCACCACACACACACACACACACACACACACACACACACACACACACACACACACTGTCCTCCACTCCTTCCTGTGTCGCCTCAGTCCTTTCAGAAACATTAGGAGCAGTTACATCACAGCATCCACAAGCTTCATAGGCACAAGGACTATGTCTCTCCTGTAGCCGTGGTGCCAAGTCCCATGTGGTAGGGACCCAGACACAGGTACAAAGGAAGATAAATAGGGCACGCTCTCTTTTGACTACTGCTTCAAAGTGTTTAGTGTATAAATCCGCCCTTATCCCAACAGGTATGAATTTACAAACACAGGACCCTCTCTCTGGAGTCTTCACTACAAAACAGGAAATTCATTCAAATTAGCATAATAAAAAATGGCACAATGGTCTCACCTAAGAGGCCACAAGACATATGCTGGCCTTAAAGACTCCAAGATGTCATCAGCTTCAGCTCACTCGCTCTCTCTCTCTCTCTCTCTCTCTCTCTCTCTCTCTCTCTCCCCCTCCCCCTCCCCTTCTCCCTCTCCACCTCTTCCTCTCCCTCTCTCCCCTTCACAGCCCACCCCCACCCACCCCAACAGTGCT